CTATTTGCTTGTTCAGCGGCGGACGGGACTCTCACCCCCGGTGCAGAAGATTCACGGGCTCCCTTCAGATGCTGTGAGAGCCCTCCATCCGACGCATCAAATTGCGCCTCGTATTCAGATGCAAGAGGGACTCTCCCTTCCGGTGCAGCAGAGCCAGAGTTCCCTTCGGACACAGCGAGATTCCCTCATTTGATATCTGCCATCGTGCTCCTCTTCTAACGGCATGTAGGGCTTGCCAGTCTGACGCTGCAATCCGCAGCTCCCGTCGAGCACTACACGGGCTCTCCCGGTAGCCCTGCCCCCTTTTTCTTCGCAGATTTTAACCCATATCTCTTTACAGCACGCATATGTTGGGGGCAACTAAAAATGTTGCTCTCTGGCTGCTGTCCCCTGTCTTTAAGCTTCTTTTGGGGAGTTCTCTGAGCCCTCCCCCAGGACAGCACGCCAAAATATGCTTACTATTTGCTATTAGATTTTATGTAAGGGTGAACTCGTGAAATTATGTTTTATTAACAAGGTTCGGGAGGAGCGCGATCAGATAATCAAACAGTTTGGCACAGGTGAAACTTGTTTAGCTAACCATCCTAACTAGCACAATACGTATATATATATGCAGCCTACCTACCTCTGTCCTACAACAGTTTTCCAGCATCCCTCCTCCACCCCAACTCCTCACTCCTAATCTATTTTCATCCCATATTAGGGATAGGGGGAGTTCTCTGGGTTCGGGCTATATTCCGGGCTCAGAGCCCTCCCCCAGGACAGCATGCCAAAATATGCTTACTCTTTGCTATCAGATTAGATGTAAGGGTGAACTCCTGAAGAGGGCTTTTAAAGACGTGACATTACATGATGTGTATTTACACATTCATGCCATCCAACTGTTGTATAAACACAATATCACACTCGTAGACGTGAGATATGGCTGTATATCGGCACGGCTGTGATACGGTTTATAAACTCTTAAATGTTCAAAATAGCTAAATATTAAACACAAACTCTAACATGTCTTTACATTTTCATGAAAATGCAGTGAACTCGTGCAACTCTGCAAAAGGGCACCAGTCTGAACAGCAACAGCACTGGTTGGATCAACAAGAGTGAACTTTGTTCAGGGAACATTCACAGAATATGTCAAATGAAATTGGTGTGATCTCATTAAATGATCATGAATTTTACTCGTCAGGACAGTTAACCTAATTTATGTGCAAATAAATCAGTTCAGCTGTGTGGAAATAGGTGGCATAATTTTATTTAGTTAGACAAACAAATTATTTATTGAGTGCATAATGACTTTTTACTAGAGGTAATGTCATCATTAAAAGATTAATGTGTGATTAAAAGTAAGACAATATGGCATTATTACAGTCATAAAAAAGGTAAGAACCACAGCTGGAACACAACAAGACTGGCATGTCAGTAGCTTTTGACTGATTATGTCTCATTATGATTATGCTGATTATGCTTCTGGGGTGCTAATTTATTGATTCGAGATCTCTGAGATGCTACGGAGTTGAACATACCACCTGTGGGCTGTTGCATGAAACTAGCTGAACATAATCTAAGTTTCAGAGTAGATTTAGAGTTGACAAAACCTGGTTTAGATTAGGGGTGTATTTCAGAAAGCGGGTTTTGTTAGAAACTCAGAGTTTGTTAACCCCGGAAAATGGAAACTCAGGGTTTTCGGTTCCAGTAAAAGACAAAACTAAACCTCTTGGTAAGTTACCATAGTAACTTACTCCGTGAACCTAACCTGGTCTGGAGCAGGTTTTCTTCGGTAAACCCAGTTTCTTTCAGTTTCCTCCCCCTTTTTAAAGTGTAAGCAATGTTTAAATACCTCATTCATTCATTCACGCTGCAAAAATTGCTTTTATTGCTGAGATTTTTGCCTTATTTCAAGTATGCATTTTCTATATAAGAAAAAATATATACGATATTTAGTCTTTCCTGGGGTAAACAAGTAAAATTAATTGCCAAGATTGTAAGAAAATTGTAAGAAAAATAATCTTAATGAAAATGGAAACAAGATTATTTTTCTCACCGGACCACTTTAATTTTCATCATGCAGACACTGTAAATGTGACAAAAATGGCATGTCTTTATATAAGGGATCCTGTAGATGAGGAAGCTGCATTAATCTCCTGAAGAGGGCTTTTAAAGACATGACATTACATGATGTGTATTTACACATTCATGCCATCCAACTGTTGTATAAACACAATATCACACTCGTAGACGTGAGATATGGCTGTATATCGGCACGGCTGTGATACGGTTTATAAACTCTTAAATGTTCAAAATAGCTAAATATTAAACACAAACTCTAACATGTCTTTACATTTTCATGAAAATGCAGTGAACTCGTGCAACTCTGCAAAAGGGCACCAGTCTGAACAGCAACAGCACTGGTTGGATCAACAAGAGTGAACTTTGTTCAGGGAACATTCACAGAATATGTCAAATGAAATTGGTGTGATCTCATTAAATGATCATGAATTTTACTCGTCAGGACAGTTAACCTAATTTATGTGCAAATAAATCAGTTCAGCTGTGTGGAAATAGGTGGCATAATTTTATTTAGTTAGACAAACAAATTATTTATTGAGTGCATAATGACTTTTTACTAGAGGTAATGTCATCATTAAAAGATTAATGTGTGATTAAAAGTAAGACAATATGGCATTATTACAGTCATAAAAAAGGTAAGAACCACAGCTGGAACACAACAAGACTGGCATGTCAGTAGCTTTTGACTGATTATGTCTCATTATGATTATGCTGATTATGCTTCTGGGGTGCTAATTTATTGATTCGAGATCTCTGAGATGCTACGGAGTTGAACATACCACCTGTGGGCTGTTGCATGAAACTAGCTGAACATAATCTAAGTTTCAGAGTAGATTTAGAGTTGACAAAACCTGGTTTAGATTAGGGGTGTATTTCAGAAAGCGGGTTTTGTTAGAGTTTGTGAGTTTGTTAACCCCGGAAAATGGAAACTCAGGGTTTTCGGTTCCAGTAAAAGACAAAACTAAACCTCTTACCATAGTAACATAGTAACTTACTCCGTGAACCTAACCTGGTCTGGAGCAGGTTTTCTTCGGTAAACCCAGTTTCTTTCAGTTTCCTCCCCCTTTTTAAAGTGTAAGCAATGTTTAAATACCTCATTCATTCATTCACGCTGCAAAAATTGCTTTTATTGCTGAGATTTTTGCCTTATTTCAAGTATGCATTTTCTATATAAGAAAAAATATATACGATATTTAGTCTTTCCTGGGGTAAACAAGTAAAATTAATTGCCAAGATTGTAAGAAAATTGTAAGAAAAATAATCTTAATGAAAATGGAAACAAGATTATTTTTCTCACCGGACCACTTTAATTTTCATCATGCAGACACTGTAAATGTGACAAAAATGGCATGTCTTTATATAAGGGATCCTGTAGATGAGGAAGCTGCATTAATTCGCGGGGAGTTACATTTACATCAGGAGAGGATTTTATTTTATTTATTTATTTTGCCATATCTACATGCATATTTATTTCAACAGTACCATTTTTAAATGGCGTTCACTTGATAAAATCTTGTTGCAACCTCTAAGTAACCTAATAATTAGAATTTCCTTTAGGATTTCCAGTGTGGTTGGATGCATTGATTACACATATTCTCACCATCGCACCTTCTGAAAACAGTTTACTGTATGGAATGGAAGGATGCCAGATGGAAGTAGTGCAAGATATATGCGTAACCACCACCACAGCTGTTAAATAAACACAAATTATTCACCTAATAATTAGAATTTCCTTTAGGATTTCCAGTGTGGTTGGATGCATTGATTACACACATATTCTCACCATCACACCTTCTGAAAATGAAGCTGATTAGGCTACAGTATGGAATGGATGTCAGATGGAAGGGTAGAGCGAGATATATGCCGTAACCACCACCACAGCTGTTAAATAAACACAAATTATTCACTATTTATTTGGTAATCTTTATGTTCTACAAATACAATAGCAACAATTATTATTTTTCCTGTTGGATTTTAATATTGGTATTGTGGCCATCTCCTCTTCATCTGTCAGTGGTGCTGGTTCAGGTTTTCCCCCCATTTTACGAGTATCTGCCTTCTTGCTGTTGGCTGAATAGAAGTCAAGTGTTTTTCATTACCCTAATTAAGAAATGTAGCATGTTGGATTAGAGATAATTAAAAAAAAAAATTTGCCCGTGGGATACCATGAAAATGAATATTAGTTCAATAAATTACCTTCCTGCCAGTCTTCACCTCTGATAACATTGATTTAGAATTAAAGTTACGTATTCCGTAGTATGCTGAAGTCTTTTTGTCAGGTGCTGTTGCCATGGTGAATCGTAATTTTGGAGCTCCATTGATCATGGCTTTTCATAGTCATGGTGCACACGCTAAACTCAGAGTCAACCTACTCAGAGTGGATTGAACTAACTCTGTTCAGCTGTTCTGAAAACGAAAACTCAGAGTTTCCAATCTCAGGGTAAGTCAACTCAGAGTTCAAGTTTTAACTCAGAGTTTGTTGAACCTCCTTTCTGGAATACACACCTGTTGTGGCAATGCTTTGTTGTGCTAATTAGGTGGTTAATTTGAGCAGTAATTTGCATAAGACTGTTTCTCTGCCTGCCAGCGAACAGACACCAACACATTTTTGGGTCTATGCTTAAACCAATCAGACAAAGAAATGGCTTTTCTTTTTTGGACTTAGATTTAAGGACACATCCCAAAGGCTTGCTACTTTCTTGTGCTCAGTTTAATATATTGAAAAATGACATTGTGGCAAGGTTATTAAGAAAACTGATTTTGAATATCAATATCATTCAGGTCTCATTAAACAGTCACACTAGTTATTTAGCAGAAAAAGTTAAAGCACATCACAGTGTAGAAGATTGTTCCTTCATATCCAGAATTGCTCTGGTTTAGTTGGTTAATTTTGGTACATTTTAACTCTTTTTTTTATCATTTTCTCGTTTCAGGGACCTGAGGGCCCTCCAGGACAGAAGGTACTGTACAGTTGAAGTAATCAATATTTCACAAATCAGGGAAACCTGTTTCCGCTTAAGAAGATAGAACAATATTTTTGTATTGATCTATTGAAAGAAATTAATACTTCTATTTTCAGCAAGGATGCATTCAATTGATCCGAAGTGACAGTAAAGACTTATGGATTGTTACAAAACATTATACTTCTAATAAATGCTGTTCTTTTTAACTTTATATTCATCAAAGAATCTGGAAAAAAGTTTCACAATTTCCATAAAAATGTTGCAAATGTTAAATATATTTGGCAGCACTAAAAAGTCAGCTTTGCCATCACATGACTAAATAACTCTCACAATGTGTAGCATAAATCATATGCACAAAGAAAAATATATAAGGATCAAAGGTATTTAATAGAATAATTCTCAGGCAGACATAAATGCAGGGAAATCTCACACAAAGCTAGGTATCTAGACGAGGCTGGACAACACAAACTGAAAAGGGATGAACTTAAATAGAGGCATACACAGCTAAACATAAACATTAACTAAAGTAGGAAAACGGTGCACAACAAAGTCTACATGCAGAGTCTATGTCACAATAACATTTTAAAATAAATATTTTTATATATTTTAAATTGTAATAATATTTCACCTTGTTACTGTGCTTGATTCAGTGCTATACACAGAACATACAGTAGACTGGGGGAAATGTGGTTTTGTGCAGGTACAAGAAATTATATGAGGCATCATATATGTCGTGTTCATCGTTTTCTACTCCATCTGACTGTTTCTTTAAACATCTGGCATGAAAACATCATGACTGGACTTTTATGCATAGAGGGTTTACACATGATTCATCTATAGATCAGTGGCAAATGAAATCGAATGTCCAGCGAATAACAAACCTAAAACTAACTTTACGGCACTAGAAAAAGTGATTATAAAGAAAATGCAATGCGTTGCATCCTTCTGGCTGCATTTGCTTGCCTCTGAGATCTTTTTTATATCACTGTATTAGTTTTTCACGTTAAGCGACGTTGGGGAATCCTGGAGTGTGACGTATGAGGGCAACCCCAGTATTACAATTCAACGTCACGCAAGCCATGATACAAAATTAAGGAAACTAAGCAACCGAAAACAATATATGTCTTCCTCAGATGTAGTATTAGTTCTGTACATCAGCGTCAAGTAAAACAGCATTACCATCTCCTTTGTGGTAGAGAAAGCTGCTTACATGCAGGCTACATGGGGAAATGAGTAATGTTAACAGCGATATTGTTGAATTAAATGTAAACAGTAATCAGCTTTTCCACATATACATACTGGCCCTGGGGCCCGTTTCAATAAGGAGGTTCAACAAAATCTGAGTTGAAACTGTGCGCCTTAGGCCATGGAGCTAGGCCCACCACCAGGGGCGGACTGGCCATCCACCCGACGGCCATCGGCCTGGCTGATTCATCATCAAAGAAAAAGTGTCAGATTAAGTGACGATGACGGCCGACAAAAGGGGGTGCTTATGCAATCTATTTTTGTTTATAAGAAACCAAAACCGACGCAAAGGAGAGTGGGCTCGTGATGGCAAGCAAAAAACATGAAGATAAAGGTGGTTGGGAGGAGTTAAAAGAAAAAAAAAAGCGAACAGTTATATAAGGTTACCTTTGCTCGCCTCTCACACTATAGAGCATGTGGCTTATAGCACTATAGTAAAGTCCCAGGACACCCCTACTCCGAATGTTCACTGCGCATTGTCTGACATGATATTCCATTCATTCATAAAGACCTTCTTGCTGTTGGCTGAATAGAAGTCAAGTGTTTTTCATTACCCTAATTAAGAAATGTAGCATGTTGGATTAGAGATAATTAAAAAAAAAAATTTGCCCGTGGGATACCATGAAAATGAATATTAGTTCAATAAATTACCTTTCTGCCAGTCTTCACCTCTGATAACATTGATTTAGAATTAAAGTTACGTATTCCGTAGTATGCTGAAGTCTTTTTGTCAGGTGCTGTTGCCATGGTGAATCGTAATTTTGGAGCTCCATTGATCATGGCTTTTCATAGTCATGGTGCACACGCTAAACTCAGAGTCAACCTACTCAGAGTGGATTGAACTAACTCTGTTCAGCTGTTCTGAAAACGAAAACTCAGAGTTTCCAATCTCAGGGTAAGTCAACTCAGAGTTCAAGTTTTAACTCAGAGTTTGTTGAACCTCCTTTCTGGAATACACACCTGTTGTGGCAATGCTTTGTTGTGCTAATTAGGTGGTTAATTTGAGCAGTAATTTGCATAAGACTGTTTCTCTGCCTGCCAGCGAACAGACACCAACACATTTTTGGGTCTATGCTTAAACCAATCAGACAAAGAAATGGCTTTTCTTTTTTGGACTTAGATTTAAGGACACATCCCAAAGGCTTGCTACTTTCTTGTGCTCAGTTTAATATATTGAAAAATGACATTGTGGCAAGGTTATTAAGAAAACTGATTTTGAATATCAATATCATTCAGGTCTCATTAAACAGTCACACTAGTTATTTAGCAGAAAAAGTTAAAGCACATCACAGTGTAGAAGATTGTTCCTTCATATCCAGAATTGCTCTGGTTTAGTTGGTTAATTTTGGTACATTTTAACTCTTTTTTTTATCATTTTCTCGTTTCAGGGACCTGAGGGCCCTCCAGGACAGAAGGTACTGTACAGTTGAAGTAATCAACATTTCACAAATCAGGGAAACCTGTTTCCGCTTAAGAAGATAGAACAATATTTTTGTATTGATCTATTGAAAGAAATTAATACTTCTATTTTCAGCAAGGATGCATTCAATTGATCCGAAGTGACAGTAAAGACTTATGGATTGTTACAAAACATTATACTTCTAATAAATGCTGTTCTTTTTAACTTTATATTCATCAAAGAATCTGGAAAAAAGTTTCACAATTTCCATAAAAATGTTGCAAATGTTAAATATATTTGGCAGCACTAAAAAGTCAGCTTTGCCATCACATGACTAAATAACTCTCACAATGTGTAGCATAAATCATATGCACAAAGAAAAATATATAAGGATCAAAGGTATTTAATAGAATAATTCTCAGGCAGACATAAATGCAGGGAAATCTCACACAAAGCTAGGTATCTAGACGAGGCTGGACAACACAAACTGAAAAGGGATGAACTTAAATAGAGGCATACACAGCTAAACATAAACATTAACTAAAGTAGGAAAACGGTGCACAACAAAGTCTACATGCAGAGTCTATGTCACAATAACATTTTAAAATAAATATTTTTATATATTTTAAATTGTAATAATATTTCACCTTGTTACTGTGCTTGATTCAGTGCTATACACAGAACATACAGTAGACTGGGGGAAATGTGGTTTTGTGCAGGTACAAGAAATTATATGAGGCATCATATATGTCGTGTTCATCGTTTTCTACTCCATCTGACTGTTTCTTTAAACATCTGGCATGAAAACATCATGACTGGACTTTTATGCATAGAGGGTTTACACATGATTCATCTATAGATCAGTGGCAAATGAAATCGAATGTCCAGCGAATAACAAACCTAAAACTAACTTTACGGCACTAGAAAAAGTGATTATAAAGAAAATGCAATGCGTTGCATCCTTCTGGCTGCATTTGCTTGCCTCTGAGATCTTTTTTATATCACTGTATTAGTTTTTCACGTTAAGCGACGTTGGGGAATCCTGGAGTGTGACGTATGAGGGCAACCCCAGTATTACAATTCAACGTCACGCAAGCCATGATACAAAATTAAGGAAACTAAGCAACCGAAAACAATATATGTCTTCCTCAGATGTAGTATTAGTTCTGTACATCAGCGTCAAGTAAAACAGCATTACCATCTCCTTTGTGGTAGAGAAAGCTGCTTACATGCAGGCTACATGGGGAAATGAGTAATGTTAACAGCGATATTGTTGAATTAAATGTAAACAGTAATCAGCTTTTCCACATATACATACTGGCCCTGGGGCCCGTTTCAATAAGGAGGTTCAACAAAATCTGAGTTGAAACTGTGCGCCTTAGGCCATGGAGCTAGGCCCACCACCAGGGGCGGACTGGCCATCCACCCGACGGCCATCGGCCTGGCTGATTCATCATCAAAGAAAAAGTGTCAGATTAAGTGACGATGACGGCCGACAAAAGGGGGTGCTTATGCAATCTATTTTTGTTTATAAGAAACCAAAACCGACGCGAAGGAGAGTGGGCTCGTGATGGCAAGCAAAAAACATGAAGATAAAGGTGGTTGGGAGGAGTTAAAAGAAAAAAAAAAGCGAACAGTTATATAAGGTTACCTTTGCTCGCCTCTCACACTATAGAGCATGTGGCTTATAGCACTATAGTAAAGTCCCAGGACACCCCTACTCCGAATGTTCACTGCGCATTGTCTGACATGATATTCCATTCATTCATAAAGAGACAGCAGCGATTCTACAACGGGTTACATTTGAGTGATATATGAAGTAGCCTCTAAGGTGATTAGTCTGATTAACATGACACACACACACACACGTTTGTTTCTGTGAATTGTGGGGACTTTTCAAAGACTTCTATTACTTTTATACTGACCAAACAATATTTTCAATCCCCTAACCCTAAACCTATCCACAGATAGGTTTAAACTTATTTAACCCTAAACCTATTGTCAACTGAAGTGTTTGGAAAATGGATTGACTTTTTTCCGTTTGAAATCCTCATGTTTTCTCACGTAAATGAGATTACGGACAAGAAATATAAACTTTTGAATGTGTGTGAAGATATTTGAACAGTCTAAGTAAAGGATGGCTGAATCTGTTGCTGATTTGAACACTCGTTTATTCAGTATTGAATTGAAACAAGAGGCCTCGCAAATGCGTTCTTATAGAGCCGGCAAAATGTCGCACATCACAAGACGAATGAATATCATTGATATTCATTTTGATATACATTTTAATGGCTGATATAGAACATGTTGGTGAAGTAAAAGCAAACATGAGTAAATTAGATGCAATGTTTGA